CCGTCCTCCTGGGCTGTCTCACTTATACGTATTACCTAAAACTAAGCTGGGGGGGGGGGGGTAGGGGGGAATCCGAGGTGGGTGAACCAGGCACCGTCTCGCAAAAGTTGAAGCATATGAGATCACAGGTGGGTGGCTCACTTACCTCGGAACGCTCCTCACCTTAAAGAGTAGTGATCGCGACCTTATCAGTGAGAGGGTGCAGAAGAGCAGAAAATAGACGCCAAATGGCGCCAGTGGCAAAATAAATGTTATATTCGTAATCAGGACCCCAAATAACCCCTATATACAAGTTTACAGCGAATTTGGTGAAAACAGCCCTGGCGCGCCAAATGGCGCCAGCGCCAAAAATGAATGTCATTTTCGTAATCAGGGCATCGAATTACCCCTATAGGCGAAGTTTCGACGAAAATTAAAATTTTGAGATTTTGGGGTTGTAATAGTTGAATAGTGTCAAATAATGAACCAAAAGAATCCTAAGGTTGTACAAGAGATCCAAGAACAGTTGTCTATATACAGTGTTGTCTATATTCAAGCAGTGTGGATTTTGTTGCTTTAAAAAGTGTAGCTTCGCGAAAAAAGGCGAAGTGTTACGACTTACAGCAATGTAATCCGTAAATCAATAACTTTATCGTAAAATTGTTTTTCTCTTGTTTTTATTTTTCTACTTTGTTTTCAAACAATACAGAATCGCAGTGTTTGAATTTAATTACAGGGTTTCGTTGTAGTATATTCGATAACGAGCCAGCAAACCTTCCATGACATCAAAACAATGCGTGAACAAATTGTGCGGGTTAAGGTGTGTTCTCTATTCTGTCAGAGTTTTCATGCTGTAATAATAATAAGAGCTCATTCCAGGGAACAGAGCAAGTGCCCATTCTCCTTGTTGGAAACAAATGCGACCTGCAACACCAACGGCAAGTGAGGACAGACGAAGGTATTGCTCTTGGTGAGTGAACTTTTCTGCAACTATTTCTTTTTACACACTGCTTCTCAAAACGAAACTACTGTCTACTTGTCTGAGAGAATACGAGTAACCAACGGCATTCTTATTTTGACACTTTACTTTTCCTTTTCATTTTAGTTCTCTAGGCTTTCACCCGTATTTTTTTTCATTTCGTAATTTAATTTTATTGTTTTGGTTTCAATTTTGGTTTATTTCATTTTTCTCTTATTAATAATTTTCCTGGTTTTGTGAAGTTGCGAAATCGCATCCTTTATTTCATACAGCACATTTACAACCAATCGTTCTCACGGTTTCCAAGATTGAATGTTGATGCTCTCTGCTCCCCTTCTTTGTCTTTTATTGATATCTTTGAAGCAGTAAAGGATAAGGCATTGGCCGTTAACCAATACCTTCTTGGGATGTGGCGCGCACTCTGCTTCCGTTTGTACATTCGTAGTGGCACTCGAATGCGATTATATCAATACAGCCACCTGTACGAGTCCAATGTTTTTGTCCTCCCAAGACATGGTTCGAATCAAACCGAAACCCGAGGAGGGAGCTAGGCTGTCAGGCGACTCGCGACCCAGTATTGGAGTCCCGACCGGTCGTGTGTAAGTGGCACTTCTCTAACAACCACTGTCCATCTTATCTTATCTCGCTAGAATCAATTTTCTGTTTGTAAAGTGCTGAAGGCAGGTTGAAAGGGGGGGAGGGCATCCCAAGTGAACGTGCCGGCATTTCTGCGTTCCTCCCACTCAAGTACTGGAAACTCAATACATCGCGCGCCTTCCCCTTTCCCAATGAACTGTCTACTTACATTCCCTGCTCGTCGCCTCTTGTACTCAACAGAGCGGGTGAACAGCGCACTGTCCTTCTTCCCTCCCGCCCTCTTCTACAGCGTTTTGTGAAAAAAACTATTTCAGAAATCTTTATGCCTTGTGCCATAGATTCGGTGTAATTTTTCGATCATTTCTTGAAGAGATAGCATGAAAAAGAATGACAGAGGTTAGCGGCGTGGTCATTTTTTTCTTTATGAAGAAATATTGAAATTTTGACTTGTCTGGGAGGATAAAAACACTGACTTGTACATCGGCTGGCCCCCGCAAGTCATTGTATAGGCCACATCGCATTCAAATGCCACTGCGAATGTACAAATGGAAGTAGAATGCGTGCCGCATCCCAAAAAGGGATTGATCAACGGCAAATGCTTTATGCTTTATCCTTTTATTAAATTTTTGTACGTGTTGCTTTCATTTATGTTCTAATACTTTTAGCTGAGTATTGGTCATGTCCTTTCACGGAATGTTCTGCAAAGAATAATCACAACGTGAATGTCACCTTTGCTGAAATCGTCCGCGAGATGAACTATGTACAAAATAAAGCCCGAGAAAATAAAGGTTGCTGCTCGATCATGTGACAACATGATATTTTTTCTTTCAATGCTTTCATGTAGATACATATATTTTTATATGCACTTGAGAGGCGTTTTTCGAATATTCACTGATTAGACGCTTTTCAAGTGTGAGATTTTCAAAACATATGTATACGTTTCATTCTTGAAGGCTGTTGCGCTGTAGAGCTTCGCAAGCCTCGTGATGATGTTCACAGATTTGTTGTTATTTCTCTCACATTGTATTCGATTGTTTAAGAATGTTTTATAACATTGGCTATTCCAATATATTGCGGTGCCAGTAACAGCTGAATCATTCAATTTCTACTCTCCTTGGTCTCTGCCTTGTTGATGTGTTGCCTATACTCAGTCTAGTAAAACCCGTTGATGCTCTAAGAACCGTGTCACTAAGATTCCCCCCCCCCGCCCCCCCTTTATTTTCTTATTGATTTTTTATTTTTTGAACTGTTTTAGTTGTTTTAGTTTGTCTTCCGTCTCATCTGTTATATGCTATTGTTACTCTATCTATATATTTTATTATTGATTTTCATGTATTCGATTTTTGCTCCTCTATTCCTTCTTCCTTTTTTTGTAGTTTCTTTCATTTTCACTGAACCCGTTTTCTAGGTTTGCTTATGTCTTCTGGTTGTTTCATTTCATCATTGCTTTTAATTTTTTTATCTCTTAATTATCTCTTATTGCTTATGATTGAATTCATCTTGTCTGTTTGCCCTATTTCTTTTCTATTTTTTTAGTGTTATATTTGCTCCTGTAAACCTTCGCATACATAAAATTTATTTTTATTATATTATTTCCTTCTAATTGGACTACTGTAACTTGGTCTCTATTAAGCATGTTGATTTTTGTAAGGTATATTTCGTCTAGTAAAATTTTATGTGTCGTTCTCTAGTGAATGCCTTCTTGAGTTTTTAAAATTTTTCTATAAATTGTCTTCTTTACATAAATTCTCTTAATGTAATTATTGCCTCTCTTCGATCTACCGATGTTTAAAGGAATTGCTCTTATTCTTTGAATGTTCCATTCGTTTATGCTCTGCAAAAATCAGTTTTGCCTTTTTAGAAATTTCTTCGATTATTTTTTTCATTTTTGTTAGCTCACTGTTGCTAATTTCATCACAAATGGTTGTTGCATTTGATCATGCTTTACTGCTACTGTGCCGTGTCCATATATAATATCGTTCAATTTTTTTTTTAGAATTTACGTGCGTCCGCTTCGTTGACTTAGACTAAAGAAGGATCTAATTCTTTTCTCTAAATATACCTTTTTACATTGTTAATTATTATGCTATATCCCTTGCGAAACTTTGTTCAGTTTTCTTGACTTACCTTCATAACAGCTTTCATCGGATTATTCTCTCATTTGCGCGGCCATTCACTTTGAATCTGAGGTAGTTTTGCATTTTGTCTCGTAATTGTTCTGTCTTCGGGGTGGATGCTTTTTCTTGTTTACCTTTTCTTTATATTTTTCTATGTCTGTTGTCAATCTTAACTCCACTTGAGTGAATCGGTATTATTTATCTAAACATATTCTAATAAATTCTCTTTCATGCTGTCTACGAAGTCTTTTCATAGTAATGTTAGGTCATTATCTTCTTTTTATGGTCAGCGATAAGTGCTATTCTTTTAAAGGTCCCACACTGACGTGTCAGTTCGAAAAATGTCGAAGAGTCGTGATCAGCAAAGTTTTTTTTGGCTGGCGTAGCCGTCAAAAAGCCGTGCTTAGTTAAATTCGTACTCTTAATAATTTTTGTCGAGACAGAATCTCAACAAATGGTAAAGGGAATCGTTAATCCTACTATTCGGTTTCCCTCTTGTATCGAAAGGTAGATCTTTGAGGAACGGTATAATCAAAACCAAAATTTAGCCCCGGCTACTGAGCCTTCAAACTACGCCATTACCACAAAACTGCGAATCGAAGATGACGAAAAAATGAAAAAGATTAGATATGTATTGATTGACTAGCACTTCTCCCATAATGCCCAGTGGAAGAAACTCAAATAATCAATAAACGTTTAGGCTTTCTCGTGGGCTTCCCTGCTGCCCTATTCTGAAGGTTGGCTCCGGTACGTACGCATTGTGTTATCCACACCCAGCACACCACTATCTCGATAATCCATCCTACGCGGATGTTTGCAGAAGCTCCCTAACCATTTGACAGACAGCCCTACTTTTCTAGCCTTTCATGCCTTAGCCACATTTGCTTAGCGAATGTCGAATGTGAGGCCACTCTTCACGAGAAAGAGTGCTCCAGTAATGACACTCACGACGCAGCCGCGCGCGTTGAACAGACGTTTTCGAGACATCTAGCGATTTGTGCTGCGTCCTTAGTCCCCGCAGGCCAGAGAGCAGACACCACGGTGCCTTCTTGAACCTTCTTGCTCCCCATGTTGCCCTTCGACATGTCACAGGGTCCTCTTGTGATACAACGCTACATCATCGTTTACAATTGCCTACTGGATCAAAATCGGTGCTGAGATTCCTTTGAGAGCTCTGCGCGACGGCGTTTAACCAATTATGTGATGGTTTCGTTGTTTCTTTAATACACTTTCAAAAAATTCTAGTTCGTAGCACTTACATAATTAGTCCCCCAGTACGTCTAATACTGTGCGGATGACTAGGACAGCTTTACCTCGCAGAAGTACGGAACTTTTGTACTATTGAATACTACGGGTCTACTTTTTATATTTATTTTATTTTTTGGGCCTATTCCAGTTGGGTGCATCATGATGCAGTTTCTTGGCGAACTAGTGTGAACTCAAACATTTCGCTTCACGGCAATGTCCAATTGACTTGCCCTCACCTCCCACCGAGAGGAGGAAGAGAGGGAAGGATAACGCGCAGGGATGAAACGCAAAGGGGACATGGCGGACCGATGAGAGTTTCCCTCGTAGATTGCTGTTTCCGCCGGCTCGAAGTTCCTTAGCTTCTGGAAAACTGCAATCAACTCAATGTTGACCCCTCCGTAACTGGAACAGACCCTATTTTTTAATGATGCAAGGCTGTTCCTATAACAAGGGATGAGGGGCATTTTGTACGGAGCAACCTAGACGAGCCAGGGGATGGGGTTTTCGACTAAGCCTATGGGGGCAGGGACGCGTGAGACGCTTCTCAGCAAATGAAGCGTTCTTGTACAGAAGCAATTCTTTCTTCCCTCCGGAGCTTCTTTTGGGCCGGATTCCGTTGCTATGGCGGGGGGGGGTGTGGTACGCTAAAGTTTCATAAAAGAACTTGGGGCAAATAACTATTGCTCACATGGTGCCGCCCCGTATTCCTCTTTTACCAAGGCTATGCTTCTGAAAGGGCTTGGCCTCGCTAAAAGGAGGAACTAAGGGTGGGAGTCGTATCATATCGTATGAGGATGTAGTATCAGGCGTAGCTCTCCTCCTCTCGGCTCAGATTAAACCTTTCTTCCGTCTTTCTCCAATCGCTTCTTCGCAATATCGCAACAAAAGCCGCAAGCTTCGAAGAAAATCACCTGGAGATTTCAATGGACTCCTTTTCCAAGTCCTACAAATACCATAATCCGCACGAATTATTGCCCCCCCCCCCCCTGGGACCATATCGTATTCACCAGGGGTCTTCTCAACAAGCTTGCTTCAAGAAAGGGTCCATTTGTAGTGTATGTGTTTGCGTAGAATTCAAGTGTGCTGAAATTATAGAAATATATCGTTGAGCGCAAATAAAATTTAAGGGATTTTTTTTTCATTTTCCAAGCCTAGAGGAAGTACAGGGTAACAGCTCCTGGAAGTTTGGTGTGGGTCACTATGACAGAAAGCGACTTCGAAGTGCTACTCCTGTAGCATTAGTTTAGCCATCTACGATCTTACTCATGATCCCTCGCATCAGTAATGCCATTGCGATGAAGAATATTAGATTCAATATCCTATCAACTTACTCCTCGGTTGATTACAGATCGAAATATGCTATTCATTTATGGCACTATTCAACTATTCCGACCCCAAAAACTCAAAATTTTATTTTTCGTCGAAACTTCGCCTATAGGGGTAATTCGGTGCCCTGATCACGAAAATGAGGTTCATTTTTGGCGCTGGCGCCATTTGGCGCCAATTGGCGCCAATTTGGCGCCAAGGGTGTTTTCACCAAATTCGCTGTAAACTTGCACATAGGGGTTATTTAGGGTCCTGATTACGGATATGTCATTCGTTTTTAGCATTTCCACCGTTCAACGCACATTTTCCATTCTCCTGGGTCCTCTCACTTGTACATAATACCTAGGACTGAGCCTAGAAGGAGGGAGGACTCCGGGGTGGGTGAACCAGTCAACATGTGGCAAACGTTAAAGCGTATAAGATCACAGGATAAGTGTTATTCACTTCGGAGCACTCTCCTCCTCAAAGGCTTAGTCCCGATCGCGAGGTGATCAGTGAGAGGGCGCAGACGAGCGGAAAACAGGCGCGCACAGGCGCTGGAGGAAAAATGAATGTTATATTCGTGATCAGGACCCCAAATAACCCCTATGTGCAAGTTTACAGCGAATTTGGTGAAAACACCCTTGGCGCCAAATTGGCGCCAAATGGCGCCAGCGCCAAAAATGAACCTCATTTTCGTGATCAGGGCACCGAATTACCCCTATAGGCGAAGTTTCGACGAAAAATAAAATTTTGAGTTTTTGGGGTCGTAATAGTTGAATAGTGCCCAATTTATTTTGTCCGAAAACCTGAATATAACGTACCTATTTGACGCGAGTTTTTTGTTCTTTGCGACACATTCAAATTGAATTGCTTTCAGATACACTACTAGAAAAGTGACCATCCATGACTGCTGAGGAGGTGAGCGATAGGTTGCTTTTCATTCGAAAGTTGACTTTTGAAAGGGTATCATACATTGCATTTGACACAAGTCGGCATAGCAGGGCGCAGCGAAGGGCCACACAACCACAAAGTGCCATAAAGAAAAGGGAGTGTATGGCTGGTGTCAGAGTCCGCGATCCGTCGCAGGTTTCGCTGATTTTCGCGATTCACGTGATTCACGCGACGGCTCAAGGAAATCACAAGTGACCTGATCAGTACTACAAGGTGTTTTTCAATCCTGCCGCCAAGTATGCTTTGATAAGTGATGGCTGAATGACAACTGCTCATGATTCCACTTGTTTCATATTCAGTGTTTCTAGTGTTCAGCTGGGGCATTTGCGATTTTTGCGATCCGTCGCAGGTTCCGCGCAAATCGCGAAAATCAGCGAAACCTGCGACGGATCGATCTTGTTAGCCGGTCCCAAGTGGTCACCATATTTGTGATGATTGAGGATTACGATATCGTAAGCTCAACTTTTATTAGTTTTCTTAAACTGATGCTGCTACTCGTTAGACGCGTGTCGGTTTCCACTTGATTCTTGTTTTCTTATGAAAGTTTATGACTCTGTGAAGAATTTTTGTCAGATGAATTTTTTTGAAAGTTTGTAGAAGTTTTTCCTTGTTTCTGTTTTTATGTGTTTGTTCAGATTACGCTTGACCTTGAGGAGTTGCGTTCTCTGCGTGCTCTAGCGAAGAGGCCCCTGCAGTCAGAAAATGGATTTGAGATCAAGATAGTAGAACTCAATGCTTTACAACCCGTAAGTTCTATGTAGATCATGTGAAAGTCAAGATTATCTTTTCCGAATTATGTGCAAGTATTATATGTTGTAGAGGACCCAAGCCAGGAAGGGGGATGAGATCTGTAGGAAGAAGGCTCTCGCTTGTAGGATTGATACAATCCTAATTCATGCTTTTGACGCGTAGCTATGGCCTCAGTAATGCATCCTGACAGGCTTACGCTACTGTCCTTGTATTACCTCAGGATAGTTCACACCTTTTTTTTCAAACACCTCAAAACTGTTGAAACCAGTATTCCTATCAGTCCAAACAATGATGAACTTTATTGTTGTCAATTCATGGTAGCAACTGTCCAGTTCTGAAAGTTCGGGTAATTAAATTGTAATCCGCTTTTTCTGTGGTTTGACGAGATCCAATGCTACAAAGATGAGACATTTTTGGCATTTGAGAAGTGTTAACCTCATCAGTACAAAAGAAGCGGCGAGAACTACTACTTGCCGCTCACAGCCTTCCCAAGTTATCCATCAACGTGGTCTTTCGTTGTTTTTAGACGCGAGCTTTCCTTCTGAAGTCCTACTAACTGTCCCATGTCTGTCCTGCCCATCCGGAGAAATTCCTGTCCAAATATCTCCCACTGTTAAGGTTACGAATTATTGGAAGCTTCAAAGATGTCAGACTTCCTTGACGTTTGTATTGTCACCCGCCCCAAAAATCCAACTTTCTTTGGAAAAGTTTGCGGAAGAAAGTCTGCTACAAACATGCCAGAATGAAAACTGGAGCAAAATTATCTCTTCTACACCTCTGTGCGCTGTACGGGATCTGAACACCTCTGTGCGCCTGTACAAGGGAAATATTGAGTTTAAGTACCCTTCGAACTGGACACTTGTTTGAAGCAATACACTTGGTTTGCTTAGGTTGTTGGTCTTAAGAAATGAAAAACGATTTCGGCTGTAACCTGCTCGTTTCAATCTAGTTTTGTCAGAAATGTGTGTTCGAAATTTGCTGCATCCTAAGTTTGATATCCTAGTGCTAAAATTGGCTCGAACATCCTCGCTGTTCTACAGATTTGCTACAGAAGGGTATCAATCGCAGATGTTTAAGTGGATTCTTTTTATCATGAAATGTTAAATATCGAAGTCATGGCGTAGATTTTTTTGGCAAAATGTTTCGTAAAAGTTGCAAAGTTTTGTGATTCTCGTGAACATAATTCGAAGTAGTGTGTTAACTGACATTAATAAATTATTGTGGGTATGGATGAAATTCGATGCTGAGGTCTTACTGATGAAACTTTCGCTTAACACTTGCATTTTTCTTTTTATAGGCTGGGACGAGTCTGACAAGTTCGTCAAGGTTTATATTACATTGCAAGGAGTGCAGAACGCGAATCCTTCTACAATTCAGCATAGTTTCACCAACACGTATGTCAGCATGGAAACAATTCCTTGACTTAAGAATTCAACGACTGACTCATGCTATGGTTTCAGTGGATATGATATAACAGTTTCTAATCATGGCGGAAAGAATTACGTAATGACAATGAAGGGACTACGAGACGAAATAGTGCCGGAGAGTAGTCAAATCAAGGTGAATTTTAATGTATGCTTGTGCAGTGCTAGAATGTCTGTTTCTGTTCATTTTGAGAGCGATACTGTTTTTTTTACCATTTTCTCATTTTAGTTATTATTTGGAACGGTGGAAATTTCAACCTATGACTCTGACAGTTTCGGTGCTAGCGGCTTTCACATTTTATAATCGGCTCCGATTTTCCATCTAAGGCTGCTTTCATACTTTGAGCCGGTGCGGTCGGTGCGGACCGTGGGACGGTGCGGAGAGAGTGAAGAGCGTCAACACGCGCACTGGCGCATGACGCGTACTTGGCGTGCAATCGGTAGCTTCCGATCGATAACCACAATTTCGATACATCCTTTCCATTTTTTCAGTTGTTTGGGGTGCTGTCTTGCATTCGATCGTGTTTTTTGCTTGAATCTTTTTTTTGGATGAAATAGTGTCTTTGCTCAGTGATGGCCTTATCTGAAGCTGGCC